CCTCCACTGGATCAACAGGTGGTTCTAGTTGTAGGTGCAGGTGTAGGTGTAGGTGCAAGTGTACGTGCATGTGTAAGTGTAAGTGTAAATGTGGGTGTAGTGTAGTGTAGCGTAGTTGTATTTGTGGGTTGTAGTTAGTTGTAGCTAGTTGTAGTTAGTTGTGGTTATTTGTAGCTATTTGTAGTTAATTGTAGTTAGTTGTAATGAGCTGTGGTTCGTTGTACTTAGTTGTAGTTGTAGCGTAGTGTCGTGTAGTGTAGTTGCAGTTGTAGTTGTAGTTGTACTTGCGTGCACTTTTCCGATATCTCAACGTCCAGAAGTGGTCCGGGACCGTCAGTTTTGAGCACTTTTGACTTCGAAATGTGTTTCGCGCCACAACAGCGTGCACTTTTTCAACATCTCAACTCCACAAGTGTTCCGAACGTGGTGTGCTTTGCACATTTTGACTTCGAAGCGTGCTTCGCGCCACAACGGTGTGCACTTTTTGAACAGCTCTTCTTCCAAAAGTTTTCCGACACTGTTTTTTTTTGCATTTTGACTTCGAAATGTGCTTCGCTCCACAACGCCGTGCGCTTTTTCAACATCACAACTTCCAAAAGTCCGATGCTGACCTTTTGATGCTTCGCGCCACAACGGCGTGCGCTTTTTCAAACACTCAGCTTCCAAAAGTGCTCCGACACTGAAGTTGTCTTGTGCATTTTGACTTCAGAACTTTGATTCGCGCCACAGGGGCGTGCAATTTAAAACATTGGAAAAACACCTTCTAAAATTCCCTGCTTGGGACTTTCCATTTTCATTCCCGCTCTGAGAGCCAGCAGAACCTTCCATGGACCGCATTTTCTAAGTCTCAGGGCGCATATCCGGCGGCGGCGGCGCAAGGGGTTCCCCACGTGGGACTTCCCCTGCAGCCGGTCTGAGAGCCAGGAGCTTCTCATCCAAACCCTCACGCTTGAGATCGAGGTTCTGTTTCCCGCCATCGAGCAGTGTTTTACTGAGACTTTGCCCGGGAGTGCGGCGAGATGAGGTTCGAAGGTGAATCTTTTTTTCTTCGCTACAGGTATCATCAATCGTGCCACGTAAAGTTTGGGCTCAAATGGGCATCTTTTGCTCGCGCCGGCGACAGCCGGAAACGGCGGGACCACCGGCGGGACCGCCGGCGGCTGAGGCGGCACCACCGGCGGCCAGCGGCATCAACCCAGAATAATTCATGTACCCCATGTATTCCCAACAACTATGACACAACCATCATTTCTGGAGCCTATAAGTTGCCAGCTTCTCGTTGCATCCATGTTTGTTCATCCATCAATCGTGTGGTCTTTTGTGCGCTGATTACGCCTCGGACACACCGCCGCTTCCTTCGATAATGATACATCTCATGGGTTTATGATGGCTGATGCATCATGACCTGGGTCGTGATTGGTTTGTTGCAGCGCCTTGCACTTGTCCGTGATAATATGGTTTGTGGATAGAAATTGAGGTTTTAAAAGCAATTTTAAAAAATGCTATAATGGGGATACCATGGGGAAATAGCCAACAAAGTGAGATTTGAGGTTATTTGTGTAAACGATTACGACCGATTCGATACGCGTCACCGTAAATGATGATTAGGATTGGGCAACTATCGTAACACTGCCTTTTTTCAGGCTGGTGATCTATTGTAATCTATCCAGGATACGACGCGCAATATTGAATTAACACACTATCCTATCACGGCCTTTGATTTCAAGATATTTGATGACGACGATAAGAATAATGATGAGAATGACCAAGAAGAAGAAGAAGAAGAATAGTCATCCATAATAACAAGTTGATGGTTGCTGTCATGATTTAGAAATTCAGAATGATTCCCAACAATGGATGATCAGAGTCACAAAATACAAGGTGAGTTTGCCAGTTATAGGTTGGTCTGCAATCCCGATCAAGCATGGTTCTATGTACCATAAACCATCGATTTTTTCTGCTGAACTAAACCAACTTCGCTATCGTTTGGGGGGCCCTCGCAACAATCCGGGATACAACGGGGAGATTTTCATGGGGGTATTAAATCTATTTCCTTGGGCATATCTGGCAAGTTAGGGATCAACAATTAAATAAAGCCTAACAACAATATGTTATTATCAATATCAATATTTGAGAATAATGAACTATTATTGTGACAATTGCAGGAAAACACCATTTACAAATAGGTAAATCATGTATTTGTGTGGGCCATGGCTTCCATAGCAAATTGTTATTTTTTTTGCCAGTGGGTTCTCCATATGGAATCCGGTATTCATCACCATTCATGGATATTAACCACCATTGGTGGATACAAGACACCGAGTTTCACGGCACAAATGGCAATCACATTAACCATTAAACACTATTAGACGCAATTAACCACTACTAACCACCATTTACAATTTTTAATGGATTTAGTGGATATTAACAACCTATTTGTATAACAGAATTCATTTAATTCGTGCACCGATTTGTTGGGCTCTTCCAAGGATGAACCATTTCCGTGCCAATGGCTGGTCAGCTGCTGCTACTCGACTTGCTCGAAGAGGGGGAATACAATGGGGAGTTATGCTAAATAGTCACGCATATATTATATATATATACAAAACAGCATGTATTTACGTGTATATATATATGTATTTATTATTGATGTATACACATATATGTACATATCATATCATATCATATCATATATATATATATGTGTGTGTGTGTATATGTATACATTTTACAGATGTATACATAATATAAATGTACTTGTACGTATACCTGCATTGGCGTTTATGTTGTCTGTGTAAATATGTCTATACATACATGTGTGTGTGTGTTGGTTATTTGGCGCTTGGAGCAGTTTCACCAATTTTTTTAACAAATAAATGCCAGGTCAATGCCAAAATCAGTGGATTTTCCTAGGTTGGTTGAGGGAGGAGAAAGACATGTGATAAACCCAATACAAAATTGGCATGTTTCAGTTTTTTGAACCCAAAGTGGAAAATTGGTACGGTTTGCTTTTGGGTTTACCACGGTACGTGGCTGTAGTGATAAGTTTTGAAACAGTTTTGGACTAATCCCTCAACAGTGACCTTGCATAGGGTGAGCAATTCCACTTCCATGATTTTTTTAAGGTACAGAAAGAACAAAAACTGGTATATTGGCAGCTGCATAATGTGGTATGCCTAACAAACCATCCCCAATGGAGCTTAGTTATTGGGTAAGGTTAATATTGTGTTAATATTGGGTTATACTATACCCCTAGTCAAATGGTTGTTAAATAATGGTGGTTAATATTGGGTTTACCACATTACCAAAAATGAAGCCAGCTGGTGGATCAGAAACACCCTGCTGTCAGGTCAGGGAACTAAGATTTAAAGGCCATGGTATGCTTGGTTGGCAGTTCCATTGATCATTGTTTTTTGCTGTTCCAGCAAATGTTTTTGTTTTTGGAGAGAAAAAAGAGCGAATGCCTTTCCCCAGACCAGCGTAAAACCCCCAGGTGTATTGCCTTCATTTTTTCTTAACGAGACGAGGGATCGCCAGAAGACAGGAAACTGCCCAACAAGGTGCCCAAAGTCGGAAGTGGCAACTATGATGCAAGGAATATGTTTGACTTATGCAAAAAGAAACCTAGGATTGCTCAATAAATCCCCATCATTTCTAATCAGATTGGTTATTTATCATTTCTCCATCCATTTCCCCATAATTTCTCCATCATAGGTATTCGCATAGTGTCCACAGATCCACGTCCAGAATCTTCCACTTAGGCCTGGGACGACCCAGGAGATGCTGATGGGCTGGGATTTTGGAGTTCACCATTTTATTTGTGAAAAATGGGATATGTAAACCACAGGGGTTCATATTATGTATATATATATATATATATTATGTATATTAAATATATATATATATAAATACATATTATGTATAGGTACATTGGGGTTTAAATCATTTTAAAAAAATGATAGCTGCGACTTGCTGAAAATCCTGAAAAAAGTTTGTTTGTTGCTGTCCCAATCAACCGGGTGAGTCATGATTGGTCTATTTTGTTGTGTCCAAAGTTTGGCGGTGGCAGGGGGAAGGAGGGAATACCTCAAGCCTTGGGCGTACCCATTTCGGTCTGGATAGAGTTGTTGAAAGAGTGTCCTCATACAGACATATACAAGAAAGAGGTGTAAGACCTGAAGGCTAACATAGGACGCCCCCCATTTTTTGTTTTCGGATTTGGCAGAAAACTAGTTCCATGTCGGGAAAAATCCGCCAAATGACACAGGATGGTTTGCAATCTACCACGCGAAATGGCAACTCAGCAGCACTATGAGTCCAACCATGTCCACCAGCCAGGTTCACAATATCTTCCCCTGAACTAACTAATCATTGATATACAGTACTTATTGCCAAAAGCAAAGCTAACTTTCATAGAGTGAACTAGTAACTCACTCCTTCTATTGGAAACACATCGAAGCTCCCAAAAGTTGGTTTACTCATTGGACTTATTCACTTGAGACCCATGAAATGCTTTGTTGCTACACAGACGGGAGCATTGGGTGGAGAGGTTATGTGCCTACTTTCTGTACTCACTGTAGTCATCCATGTTTTGGGGAAGAGACTTTCAACCATACCCATCTATCCCTATATATCTTTTTTGGATGTGTCTGAAAATGGGGGGCCGAAATCAGCGGTTGATCAGCATGTTGGCCGTTGCCGAACTTGAGGCAAGGGATTCACTCCAAGTTGCTTTCTCACTACTAGCCAGCGCAACGCCAGCGTAACAAAACAGGTTGCGTGTGCGCCAAAATGCTGCCGTCCTATAGGGGCTGCGATACTACAGTAGTTGTTTTGAATCCATGTGGCTGTAAGCAAATGAAAGCAATGTGATTTGTATGTTGCTCTCTGTGATGAATTTTAAATATCAACTTGTGAGTTTGGATCATCGACATGAAAATGCCAAATTCGACTCATCAGCAAATTCCGAAACGTTTCGGGGCCGCTGGCTCTCAGTGCTGATTTATCTTGGCGGTTTGTGCCAAGACGGCAGAGCCAGATGTGGGAGCCAGCCAGCCAGCAGCGGGACTCTTCGGCCGCATGGTTTCTGGGTGATTAATCCCTTCTTTGGGATGCAGCTGGGGATAGTTTTATGGCTATGACTATGGGATTTTTGCCGGACGTTGGGATAGAATCCTTACGACTATTGTAGTATAACCAGGGGATTGAGATGGTTATGGGGAATATAATGGGAATAAACCACATTATGGAGATATAATGGATATAAAGTATGTAGATATAGATGTATAACCAACAATCTTAAACAACCCCCGTAACAATTGTTTTTTCCAGTGGATTCACACAAATTTGGGATCCTTTAGGGGGTGGTTAATAGTAGGGGAATGTGATTAACCTCCCCCTTATATGTCGGGGATTATCAGAATCTATTCTGTGAATCCCGTTCTTAACCAACCAACCAGTATTTCAAATGGCTGCTGGGTTTTCACCCTGCTTTTGCCTTGCTCCATTGGTATTACTGTTAGTCATGTACCTTGTATCTGGAATAAAGCTGGATCCATCTGCGAGATTAGTGTATCGATATCCCTTTTCCTTCTCATTGCAGCCGTCCTGATGGAACATCACTGGTTTCCGTTAGTTGCTGTAAAACACCGGGAAGAATTGACCATTTGGTTGGAGAAGCACCCTGTTGCCACTGCGATTTCTTTTCATCCGGCATGGGAAGTGTTTGTAATCGAGCCTGACTCGGGTGCAAGGTGTGGAGTGCATACTCTGATGTCTTTGGCTACTGCACTAGGAATGAAGGTCATTGATTTGGCCCAGAATGACTCGTTTGAGGTGTTGAGATCCCTGTTTCACCAGCACACAAAGCCGAGATGTGACCCCATCAGATGGGAACTGGGACGTAGTGGCCAGCTTGTCAAGAATCTCACTGAGGAATTGCTCAAACATGGAATCCCCTTAATTGCTCAGTAGGCGAAAAAGGCTCTTGGCAGTGACAAGAACATCAATGCTCTCAATCATCGCCAGCCCTGGAGACAGCTCAAGATGCTTGGCAACGCCAAATTCCAATTTCTTCTGCCTAGGCTTGACAGTGCCTCTGCTGAGCCTGAACTCCAAACCTTGGTCATCGATTATGCAGATCTGCCGAAATTTGACGCTGTTGCCGATGACCAGCCCATCGAGGCTACCAACTCTGATGACCGATGTGTCTTCCCACCCATTCTCTGCCGGTGTTCTCTACTGACTTGTCTGGGTGGTTGTCTTGGCGTCGATGTGTGCTTGGGTGGTGGCTCATGCCGTTTTTGCGGCCAGCCTTTGGACGGTAAACGTCAGCATGCCAATTCTTGCATGGCTGGATGATCCATCTAATTGGAGAGGCGATTGCATGGTTCTCAGAATCCATTCCTGCCCATGGTCAGTGCCAAATACATGCTTTGTTCTTCCCACATTTGCTTGTTAGATCCTGCATGTTTGATGGTCACATGCCCAATTCCAATCGGTACTGCTGCAAGTACAGCACCCCCAAATTGCTACAAAAAGTTAGGAACTTGGAAACTACAGTAGAAGGTACAAATGATTCATATATTTACAACATCCTTTGGCAACTTCAAATATTTGTGTATTCACCAACGTATCTAGGATGATGCCCCCCAACACGTTTATATGTTTCATTGACTTTAAAACTACCAACCAATGTCACTTGGTTCATATTCATCTCCACAATATGCAGAATATCTCCCCATGAAAAAAAGGGTGGCTCCTCAAAAAACTTCTGAAATACATCGAAATACCGTAATCAAAGGAAGTTTAAAAGTCAAACTTCTGACAAAATGGACGGATGAAAAAGCAGAGGTGGGAAGAATCAGAGAAGAGAAGAGAAGAAGAAAGAAGATCAGAGGAGAGAAAGAGTCAGAAGAAAGAAGATGCAGGTGTGCGAAAAGGTATAAAAGTCGCGAAACACTGTGTTTTTCCAATGTTTTGGGGCTCGGGAGGGTCGAAAAGTAGGCTTGCTAAAGCGGCGGGTGCGGAGCCATCTGGGCAGATGAGAGATGAAAAATTGCACGCCTTTTGCAGCACGAAGCACATTTCGAAGTCAAAATGTACAAAACACACCAACGTCGGACCACTTTTAGAAGTTGCGATGTCGAAAAAGTGCACGCCGTTGTGGCGCGAAGCACATGTCGAAGTCAAAAGTGTAAAAAACACACCAGGTTCCGAGCACTTTTGGAGGTTGAGATGTTCGAAACGCGCACGCCGTTGTGACACAAAGCACATTTTGAAGTCAAAAGTGTTTAAAAACTGACGGTCGGACCACTTTTGGTTTTGGAAGTTAGGATGTGGTTTTGCGTGGCAGGCGCAAGGGATTCGGTACCTGCCAAAAGTGAGCAAAATGCGCGGGTTTTGTAACAGTTTCAAAAACGTTGGCAAGCGTGGGACACTTGAAGAGGATCTGCAAAGATGCATGTCGCGTGGCAGGCGGAATACAAGAGCCACATGAGTCAGACATGTTAGGAGGTCAGGGCGCTGATCTGATTTCCTGAGAGGGTTGCATTTTGGAGCATCAGATCTTCAAGGTTGCTGAGATGATTTTGCGTGACACGTGCAGCGCTTCGCATGACCCGGCTTCACTTTGTGGCAGGCGCAATACTTTGGACAGATGGAGTGGAAAAAACGCAAAACGCATTGGTATGAGGCCGTCAGCTCTGCACTCAATTTTCCGTTTCTGAAGGAAGTCTCGCAGAATTGACTCATTTTTGATGTTGTCAACTTAAGAAATTGAGGAAGTCTCGCTGAGTTGCTTCGTTAGATACACAGATAGATCCATAGACAAATAGACAGACAGATAGATAAATATACAGATAGATAGATAGATAGATAGATAGATAGAAAGACAGAGAGATAAACAGATACTGTAAATAGACAGATAGATAGATAGATAGAAAGACAGAAAGACAGATAGACAGATAGATAGAAGGACAGATAGAGGTAAAGACAGATGAATAGATAGATAGATGACAGATAGACAGAGAAAGACAGATAGATAGCAGAATAGTCCAACCACTTTTCGATCCATCAGTGGGTTCGCTCTGCCATCGGTGATTTACAACAACCAACCTCTCCTACAGGTTTCCTATCTTTGAAACTTCCGCCACCGCCTTCTGCGGTACTACTGGTATACCAGATTTCAGAAAACACATTGAAATACCAGAATTTAGGGATATGAAGATCCCATTTAGACCCATTTAGATCCATTTGTGCACTATCTACCATCCATAGCCAGCTGTGGAAAAGCCATGGGGATTGCCATGACCTGCCATAGGAATGCTCCGCAGTGGCTTGTGGGCGCAAATTCCCGGCGATGACTCAGATGGCGAGGCGAATTTGGGTTTTTTTCCCCAGAGAAACGGTGTGGTTTTGGCTATTTTTAACATTGTTTTTAGCTTTGAATCATGGGATATCATGGATGCTTTAAGTATCCATCATATTCAAGAATGGGATATCATGGGCAGATGTGATTATTTCAATGAATTTCAAAATTGAGTGGTAATTAAGAATGATGAAAATAACAAGAATAGGGAGCGCTGCATTAAATATAGCAGCTTATGAGAGCATATCGGCAATGAAACCAGCCAGAATCTTCAAATACGTTGCGTCCAACGCTGTGAGACTTGAGGTAATCTGATCAGTTTAGGAACAGGGCCGCCCGCAAGACACCAGTGGCTTATCATCATGGATTTTTGACCATGTTTCCCATTTAAATGGCAACAAATTGCAATATCCCCCGAAATCGATAAATCCATATCACAATCATGTTCAAATTCCATTATATCCCAAGAAATATCCCCGTAAATGGTGGGTTTCGCATCCCATTGATGCATATGTAGTATATTGCACGAATCCATACTATATACCGGCCAAATTGGTGGTTAAATCCCCTTTTTTGCTCATCATAGCTATCTCCATTGTTTGGCCTGTTTTTTTGACGCCGTTTTCGCCTGTTTTGCTGGGAAATCTTTGCGTATTGGTCATGTGTTGATTGCTTTTCCCAAAAATGCATGGTTTTATACTGTGTGAAAGTGCTTAATGTGTCTATTTGGCATTGAAGACCAATATAGACAAAGCCACTTTTGCGGATCCATTCGTGCTGTTTGACCGGGCCGATGGGTGCTTCCATGTGCGGTATCCCCTTGCATCTACACATGCATGGCACACAGAGATACATGCGCACAATATATAGATATGTATATTATATAATTGTATATATATATATATACATACATACATGCTGTGCATACACATACATATTTATTTACATATTTACATTTATGTACATATTTTTATTCATACATATATATATATACAATTATACATATTTGGGTTTCTTTGAAAATGTGCTATCCTTTTTTGCTCAACTGGTCCAGAGGCCGAGGAGGAGAGGCCCAACACCAGCGAGGTCTTGGAGCGCGTGAAACAAGTGCTGGGTGAAAGGCAGGGATGAAATGCCATGGAAATATGATATGTGAAATAGATGGGATTTAATATATGGGATATAATATAACCTCTGGTAAACTAACATAACTTTTGAAAATGACCATTTATAGTTGATCTACCCATTAAAAATTCTGATTTTCAATTGTTATGTTAAATTACCAGAGGGTAATATTACTAACTATGGATACTACTATATAATATATATATATATAGATACTAATTGTGTTAGCTGAAAAAAGTTGGGATATGTAAAATGTCATGGCTTAGACTAGCTGAAAAAAGTAAATTGCAAATGGGTATTAAATATGTGATTATAATATGGGGATATCACATAATATGAATGGGGATGAATATAGTATGTGATGTTATGGGGATACAATATGTCATGGGTAAATGATGATTAAACAGCAGATTAGGGTGTTTTTCCCGATGATTTTTCAGAAAAAATGATTAAGATAAAGGGTGGAAAATATAATGGGTGGATATAGTTGTAGTTGCTACCCCATGGGATAAAAATAGTAATAATGAACAATAGGGGTATCCAAGTTAAACAGCAAAATACATCTATATATTGTAATACAATGGGAATATAATGGGATTTTACCAACTATAATTTTTTTTTGATGGTATATCATGGGAAATGTGGCAAAAAACTACAAAAGTCCCATGACTTACAAGGTGAGGCCCCGGCTCGATAGCTAAGTTGACGCACATAACTTGGTGAATGTCTGGGTTCATGGGGGATATAACTATAGTTAATCGGGTTTGTAAACCAGCTTACATAACGAGGGGGGGGTTACCCTAAACCCACCGAGATAGTTCCAAAGATTCTAAGCCATAGGATGGATTGGGGGTTTCACATGATGGTCAGACAAGGCCAGATGGTTCGGTTTAATGACAATGAAAACCATCAGGGTAAATCACAAAAAGGATTGTTAGATCATACATAATATCATGATATTGTTAAATGGGAAACGATAAGGTTAAATGATACATGATTTGGGTAAGGATGTCATTGCTCTTGTGATATGTGACTTGGGCAAAGTATGTGGGGAGTATCCCTGATTGGATCAGAATGAGGGTCAGTCAACTCGGACCATCATCAAAACACCGGTGTTTTTGGTAGAGTGGTCTGAAATAAACCATCAAGAACTGCAAAATTCGACGAATTACGGATCACCTCAGCAACCGAGCAGAGTTGGGATGACCGGGAGCATCAAAACTGGTGGCATCCGTGAAGAATACACAGAGATCAATGGAATGCGATACTGTCGTCACTCGTGCTGGCTGTGTAGATTCTGCGACATGGTAATTTGCCCTGTCTGGCTGGTACATCTCGCTGGCTGGCAGGAGCAACATGAAGGATAGCATCAGGCATGTGAAAGGGTGAACCTCCCTGAGATGCGTCAGTGACTGTGTCAACGCAGTGCCGTGCTGGCCAAGCACAGGAGGTCTTTGCCTTGCAGCGTCAGGTTGCCAACCGAAATCCATCTGAGCGATGTTCAGGACAGATTCGGATCTGAATCAAGGATGAAATATGATGAAATTTCAGTTGCATTTGCACTACACGCGATCATTTGAAATGATGTCAAACGTTTGCTCTCCCTGTGCTTCCAATCAAACTGATTTGATGTGCATCCGTTCCATATTTTGCATTGACCATGTAGCAGATTCTAGATACCCAACGGACCACAAATAATTTGGCATTTTGAGAAATTAAGCATCAGTTTGTTGGGGTGCGCAAATTTTGCGGAAACCCGCAAGACCAGGAGATTCAGAGAAAAAGGGACTTGGAATCTGCTTGTAAATTGGTGATGTATTTCAGGAGTGGTAAATGTCCCATGCTGGAGATTATGTCAATCATTGGATGATGTTCAAGTAGGGCACTTATCAACCCCTTCTATTTTGGTACGTTGCCGGGTGTTCGGTTTCCTGCTGATGGCTTGATTGTTCACCATGATTTTGGTGCCACAACTTGATGCACGCCGCAGGGTCCCCTGGCTTTGTCCCACATCCGCCTTTTGCCTTTTGCCTTTTTTATCTAGGTTTTCCTACCTTGGAAACTCATATTGGTTTGATATGTTGGTTGTTTGCACCCTTAACTTTTACCCTATATTTATTATTATGAGATATGAGGAGAACTCCTACAGGCCCCACAGTTGTATCCCCATGCAAAAAAAAAGAACATCCCCTGTAAATCACCATAGAATCCTATACTATGGTTGGCTTTTTGCATCCGCAGGTGGACGGAAGTCCCTTTCATGGATCTGGCACCAGCGACTTGGTAAAAATTCTTTGGGGGTGGAATGTCCCGCTGGTGGCGCAAAAGGACCACTGTTACTTGGTTGATTTGCCCCTTTGGCAATTTGAACATAGCTATGGACAATGGATGAAAATGGTTTATGTATAGGTGATTTACTGATTGACAATGGTGATGTTCAATAGCTGTGTCAAATTGCCAGAGAGTGAGTCTAAGAAACTCATAACTATAGGGGTTTCTGACTTCCTAGTTTTGGTCTTCCAATTTATGGGGGTTCCCTATATGTTTTTCTGAAGGTATGGTTTGGCAGCCACTTGGAGGTCCACGAAAGAGGGACCATCGGGCCATCAGCTGCGAGGTTCAGCCGGGTGCCAAGTTTGCCTCCCTGGCGAAGCTGATGTCGCCTGGCCAATTTGGTGGGTTCCCAAAGTCTACGAGGCAAGCTAGTCGACTAAGATCCAGAGATTGTTGTCCATGTATGGATGGATGGATAGATAGATAGATAGATAGGGATAGATAGGGATAGATAGGGATAGATAGGGATAGATAGGGATAGATAGGGATAGATAGGGATAGATAGGGATAGATAGGGATAGATAGGGATAGATAGGGATAGACAGGGATAGATAGGGATAGATAGGGATAGATAGGGATAGATAGGGATAGATAGGGATAGATAGGGATAGATAGGGATAGATAGGGATAGATAGGGATAGATAGGGATAGATAGGGATAGATAGGGATAGATAGGGATAGATAGGGATAGATAGGGATAGATAGATAGGGATGGATGGATAAATAGATAGATAGGATTAGATAGATAGGATTAGATAGATACGATTAGATAGATAGGATTATATAGATAGGATTAGATAGATAGGATTAGATAGATAGGATTAGATAGATAGGATTAGATAGATAGGATTAGATCGATAGGATTAGATAGATAGGATTAAATAGATAGGATTAGATAGATAGGATTAGATAGATAGGATTAGGTAGATCGGATTAGATAGATAGGATTAGTTAGATAGGATTAGATAGATAGGATTAGATAGATAGGATTAGATCGATAGGATTGGATAGATAGGATTAGTTAGATAGGGTTTGATAGATCGGATTTGATAGATCGGATTAGATAGATAGGATTAGATAGATAGGATTAGATAGATAGGATTAGATAGATCGGATTAGATAGATAGGATTAGGTAGCTTAGATTAGGTTACATTAGATTAGATTAGATTAGATCAGATTAGATTAGATTAGATAGGTAGAAAAGAAAGAAAGAAAGAAAGAAAGAAGGAAAGATAGATAGATAGATAGATAGAAAGATAGATAGATAGATATTGGTTCAAAACCCATTATATTCCCATTGTATGTGCGGACCTTCGGCTGTTCAAAGGGCATCAACCGTGTTTCGCGCAGCAGTCTGACTTAGTTTACTGGGAGAAACGAATACTCTTCAGAGTTTTCTTTCATGGGTTAAGTCTTGCCTATGAAACGCAACAAATAGATGATTACTGGTTGGTGGTTTGGAACATTTTTTATTTTTCCATATATTGGGAATTATCATCCCAACTAACTAATATTTTTCAGAGGGGTAGGTATACCACCAACCAGATTATCATCACCGTATTTTTTTTAACTTCGGTACTTGACCCATTTTGACCCTCATCGACTGCTCCCAGTTTCTCATGCAGTGGTGTCTGTGCCCATCTTCCATGACTTAGATTCGTGGCGTCGATGTTGCTGCACCAAATAGCACCATGGAAAGGATCCCGGCAGTTGTGAAAAATAACTCGTGTTTGGGTTATAAGCCACAAAATATTCCAGTCAAAAGCTGGTTATTATATGTTATTATCTATGTACTCACAATTTACAAATGTTTTAACTGAAAAAGTTCTTACTAACCAGGATATGGTGAAACTACTATTGTGTATTGCATTTTAGTTATAATTTCAAAACTAACTTCAAAACTGGTTTCTACTGGTTAAATAGTTTTACCATCAGACATCATCCCACCATGGATAGTCGGACGGCCGATTTCAAGGTCGGACGGCCGCGGTTTTCCGCCTGGTTTTCGCATCGACCGAATTCACGCACCCTTGGTGCGGGAGACATATCTTCACAACGGTCGCTGGTCGATTTTTCTGCAAAGGGACCAAGAAGGAGAATATTCTTGGGATAATGATGGGTTTCACCAAACAAATTGAGGTTTAGCCTCAACAACTAGATGGAAATTCAACAAACTCAAAAATATGGATAGACGGACGGGTTTGTCTGAGCATGGGTTGTGGGCCCGAATCATCAATTGTTTTATGGCGAGAATGATCATCAACCGGATTTTGGGATACGTTCTTCCAAAGAAATCCATCTTTGAAGTCCAGTGCAGGTTGTTGATGGTCAAGCACGTCCCATTTCAGAAAAGACTGTATCAAGACTACCCGTGTTTTGTTGGAAGGGAGGGTTCGGTTCAGTCGTTAATCCTCACATTTCGGGGTCAATACCCCCGGTTATATCAAGTTGATCCTATCCCCCCAAAAAAAAAGTTCCTAGATGGGACCCCAAAATGAACAGATCCATCAAATACGACCAGGGTTCGCAGTTTTTTGGTGTATTTTGAAGGAATTGACGAAAATTTACAGCTGATTTCCAGCGAAACGAAGAATGGTTACGTCCAATATCCCGCAATAATGGAGGCACACTACTGTGGTAAACCAAATGAAGGTGTTTAATACCTAATTTTACAAGTGTAAAACATATTGTAAACTATCCAGTGCTTGGGAGAGAGCGGTTCAGAGCGGTATCTACATTCCCAACAACCAATAGGGAGCCAAGGAGCTACTGAGAGTTTCCCAACTATATGATACTGTCTTTTTCTGGTGATATTATCGATCATTATATCAGTCATTATCAACTATTATCCGTTGATTATGCCTATTAAACCATACATATATGTATGATAGAAAATGTTCCTTTGAAGTTTTGTGTTTTGTTGGGTACCTCACATGTTTCCCGAAAGTTTCTCCGAGGCTTTCGCCCTACAAAGGGGGAGGACTGGCAGGTCTGTTGGCATTCCTTAAGTGGGTCCCAATATGTATAAGCCCCCTAATAAACCATGCTTTCTGGGGTTTAATTTTCCTGGGCTTGGACTGATATAATTAAAAATGAGATTGGGTCATAACCTATGAGCCTTGGGTACCTTAGGGTGGCAATTGATTTGAACGAGAGAATCATCGAACTAAATGAGGGAGGTTCCAGCAAGCCATGTGGAATTACCGGAGGGTTTACCCTATTTAGGATGAACATCCAGGGAGCAATGAGAGTTTCGTATCGCTCAATAGGAAACATGTCCAACGATATAGGTTGAAGATTGCAACATGTTATCAAATTAGGTTCGTGTTCCTGGGCCAAATTCCCCTGAGGCCAATTTCTGCTTTTCGTGCGCGCACCTGAAGTACGAAGATTCTTTTCTTTTGCCACGTCAATTTTTTTTACCCACTGGGACGTGCGGATAAGGTTAGCCCCTGTGTCATAGTGCGTTGGGGGCATGCAGACTGACTCGCACATTCTGACCGAGTTTGGTTCAATATAATAACACCTGAGGCGCCTATTCGGTATGCTCCAGTGATCATGAAGGTCATGCATGTCGGTGTCCCACATTGGGCTGTTGCCCTTGGCTGTGAGACTTCGTGAAGGCGATGCCCTGACCCACTGAAGCATTTGCTGAAGCAGTTGCCACGTTTCTTCAGGGATTCTGGAAAACCCCGAAACCCTCTTTTGGGTTTTTGTTCGGTCCTTTTAACCCAGAATGTTTGGTATAGCATGGCAGGGCCAAATCCCAATCTTCACCTGTTTCTGGTACGATTTGTGTTTTTTCACTTTTTAGGATGTGAAGTTGAAGAAGAATACGTAGTTCCAGTGGCAAGTGGATATATAGCCATAGTTGTACCCTCTGGTAAACATACAAAAAACTATGGAAAATCACCTTTTTTATGGGTAAATCCACTTTTTCAATGGCCATTTCCAATAGCTATGTTTGTTTGCCAGAGGGTAGGTGTTGGTTCCCAACTTGTGACCATGGTTGATGGATCTGGTGGCGTGAAACCGCAGGATTGGCTTATCAGTTGGACAGGGCCTCGAATGAGATCCTTGGGCACCAGGCTCTGGTCGTTGATAGTTGGGCAATCTTCAATATCATCAATATCATCAACATCATCAATATCATCAATATCATGGGCAAATATTGAATGGAATTATTGAATGGGCTTCTATGCTTCACTATCCAACATGTTGGGATTATCACAATTCATGAACGAGATCCGATCGGAAAGGAAAGATCATCTTCCAAAGCCAAAACGTATCGTTGAAATGGTGAAAAAATATAGGTACCCAAAATCACATCTACTACCATCACATAAATCATGGATATATCATATATCATATAATAGTGACCCAACAAAAGGATAGACAAGTAGATTATTACCTAATTTTAGTGGGATTTCGCACCATAGACACAATCATGTTGACCTCGAAAATCACCGCAACATCATAGAAACTTTAGATTTTGGATTTCCAACCTTTTCGATCTTTTCGTATCATTTTTGTGGTGAATTTCCATGGATCCCATCCCTTACAAGGAGAGAACATCCATCGCATGATGCACGAGTTCCAAAAGGTGAACCACTTCCCGGCCTCGACGGAACTCACCAGGCGCGATGAGCCACAAAGAGCTCGAAATGACTGGTCGATCAGGATAGATCATATATGAATTGCTATATATGTATGAATATATATATATATATATTTTTATAGACATGTATATTCATTTATTGTTTGTAGATATATATATATATATGTATATACAATGTAGATCCAGATATATATATATATATATACAATGTAGAGAGATATATATATATGTGTGTGTGTTATTATATGTATATTTGGTATGGGAGATTTAATAGCATTTTATGGGATATTCATGATTTTGGGATGTAATGGGGTTTCAGCATATATATATATATATAAGCAGCAACCATGGATATAACCACTAGGGATATATCAGCAATGGGTGCTAGGTTTTTTGGTGACAAGGGAGACCTGATGGATTTGGAGAGAGGGGAGTTACTGTATCCACCAGCCTGAAGTGGTCAGCCGCACAGCTGGTCTTGTCTTCCGGCTGTCGAAGACTTGGTACCAAAGATAACCAGTCAAGAAGCAGAACATCACAAAAATACCCCAGTTCTTTGGCATACCACCTCGCTCTTTGGAAGAAGACAGGCATTGGCAAATCATCAGGTTTCACCAAAAATCGTCAGGAAAGCCATCAGAGTTTTACCACCAACTAGATGTAGCGATTATATCTTGACTTATGCAAATTAGCACCATAGTTATACCCATCAAAGTCACCCCAACTGCACTTCCAAGGTTAATAGTTGGTTATTCCTATATTTGTTACCATAGTTATACCCATGACTTTACCATAGTCATACTATGCAATGTCTAGTTTTCATAGGCAAACCCAGCCAGCAATTCTTCGGCCACCGGCCGCAGGAAGGATCGGATGTGGGACAACTTCCAACGGATGGCGCAGCAGATGGGCAGCGGTCAATTTGATTTTGTGCCGGACACCTGGACGGATGAAAAGTGATGGGCTGCGACACCCATTTTTGGGAACAGCCATTGGTTGCGACATTTTCATGTACATAGATGTATGTATGCAGGTATTTATGTTTGTGTATCTATATGTGCATGTATATTAGATTAGATAGGTTAGATTAATTAGATTAGATAGATTAGATAGATTAGATAGATTAGATAGATAGGATTAGGTAGATCGGATTAGATAGACTAGATAGATTAGATAGATTAGATAGATTAGATAGATTAGATAGATTAGATAGATTAGATAGATAGATAGGTAGAAAGGTAGATAGGTAGATAGGTAGAAGGATAGAAAGGATAGAAAGGATAGAAAGGATAGATAGCATAGATAGCATAGATAGATAGATAGATAGATAGATAGATAAATAGATAGATAGATAGATACATAGCTGGATAGATAGATAGATAGATAGATAGATACATAGATAGATAGATAGATAGATAGATAGATAAATAGATAGATAGATAGATACATAGCTGGATAGATAGATAGATAGATAGATAGATAGATAGATAGATAGGTAGATAGGTAGATAGGTAGATAGGTAGATAGGATAGATAGGATAGATAGGATAGATATATAGGATAGATAGATAGGATCGATAGATAGGATAGATGGATAGGATAGATGGATAGGATCGATGGATCGATGGATGGATCGATGGATAGATTGATGGATGGATGGAGGGATGGATCCATAGATAGGTACATAGGTAGATAGGTAGGTAGCTAGGTAGCTAGGTAGATAGGTAGAAGGATAGAAGGATAGAAGGATAAAAAGGATAGATAGGATAGAAAGGATAGATAGGACAGAAAGGATAGAAAGGATAGATAGGATAGGTAGCATAGATTAGATAGATTAGATCGATTAGATCGATTAGATAGATGGATGGATAGGATGGATAGATGGATGGATGGATGGGTGGTTGGATAGATGGATAGATGGATAGATGGATAGGTGGATAGATGGATAGATGGATAGATGGATAGATGGATAGATGGATAGATGGATAGATAGATGGATAGGTAGAAAGGTAGATAGGTAGATAGGTAGAAGGATAGAAAGGATAGAAAGGATAGAAAGGATAGATAGCATAGATAGCATAGATAGCATAGATAGCATAGATAGCATTGATAACATAGATAAGATAGATTGGATAGATGGATGGATGGATGGATGGATCGATGGATGGATAGATGGATAGGTGGATAGGTGGATGGCTGAATGGATCGATAGATAGGTACATAGGTAGAGAGGTAGATAGGTAGATAGATAGAAGGATAGAAAGGATAGAAAGGATAGATAGGATAGAAAGGATAGATAGGATAGATAGGATAGATAGCATAGATTAGATAGATTAGATCGATTAGATGCATTAGATAGATTAGATAGATGGATAGATGGATTGATGGATTGATGGATGGGTAGGTAGATGGATAGGTGGATGGATGGATGGATAGATAGATAGATAGGTAGATAGATATGTGTGTATGTGTCTATGTGTTTATGTGTTTATGGGAAATATATACTGTATATATATGGATAATCCTTTTAATAATCAAGAATCAGTAGCCCAAAACAAAATGGGTTTCAGATCTAGGTCATTTGTGGCTCAATTGGAACAAAAACAGTTTTAGACACAATCGCGGTTGACAAGCCGGGGCCAGGACAGCGATTGAAGCACTGACTGAGGCCCCCTGAAATGAGAATGTTGGGCAACAGAAAGCGAAAAAACAAAAATGATGATGTCATTCATAACTTGCTGGCTGCCAAAGGATGTCAGAATTTGGCATGAAGAGTTCTATCCTAACCCATGAGGTGAGATTCTCAAGTTGAACCAAGTCAGGGTTCGCTTGAAGCCCCAGGAAACCTTCGTGTTGCCACAACAACTCCGTAGCTTTAAACATCGCTACCTGAAGACCAGGCGCAAGCAGCAGATTGATGCAACAGACATTTAGGGGATTAGGGCTGGTTGAGTTAGGGTTAGTATCAGTATTGCAATTATTATTGTTACTGTTATTATTGTTTTTTTTGTTCACTCTTCTGTTTGTTCAATCATATTTGGTATGATGATCCTAAAGTTCCAAGACTTCCAGGGGGAGGTTGAAACCACCAACCAGGATGCATGCTTCCCTTATGTTATATGCCCTCACAATCCAACAAGTTTCTCGTGGAGAAGTCACCAACCTGATCCTGTTTTGCAGGATCATCATTTTATGTCCTGAGAAATTTTAGAATTACCCTCTCTGATTTGATGATTGTTGTCCTATGTTGTCCTCAATTATCATATAACAGTGATGATTTGATGATTGTTGTCCTCAATTACAGTTTTTTTGATATTCTCGCTTTGAGGTTGCATCAGCAGCGAAGTCCTGTGGTGTTTTGGGCACCTATGATTTCTGCAACTCCAAATCTCCCGTGTCTCAATTTTCAAGCCATGGGACCCATTTCTAACGGTACCAAAATCGAAATAAACCGATCTTGGGAACCCGGGAAGCCTCACTAATCAAACCATAATCAACCTTTATCTCACCGGAAATAGTCTAAAAGGACCATGTTGGGCTGCTGAACTTCTGAACGTTTTCCACGCAGGGGCGAGCAGCTGTGGATTGTGAAACCAACGGCATCATCGCAGGGGCGAGGGATTTTTATCCTCCGTAACCTCGTGGAGTTGCTTGGTGATGGATCCGGGACGGATGGTGCCCCGAGATTAAGATTTACGATTTACCGTGGGAATCGGCTCATGGGGACACCCACCAGCTACAAAATCGTGTAAGAATCTGGGGATCTACGCTATGAGCTGACAAGATCAATGCTCCAGAGGGTTGATCATCCCGGGAATTCCATCACGGGGGAAAACCACCAACAGGGGGAGGTCACCAAGGAAACTTCGGAGGAGGAATGATGCTGGATGTAAACATAGATTCAGATACTATATCTATAATATATCATATCTAGATATTAGATGGAGAAATAGATGGATGGATGTTGATAGAGGTCCGACCTAGAGATGGATGGAAGAGACAATGTCACCCGCCCAGGCTGCCTCTCAAGGAGTCGGTCCCGTGGCAAGCCGTGGCGCTGATGAAATAACCTTTGGTTATGTAACACTTTGCGAACTGGAAAATCACCATCTTTAACCATTTTGATAGCAAAAAACTACGGAAAATCACCATTTTTAATGGGTAATTCAATTACAAATGGGCCACTTTCAATGTCTATGTTTACCACAGGGTAACCTGCTAGTTGCGACTGATGGAATAAGATATCCGTAGCTTTGTAGCATATTCACCGGGAATTGTATGATGGACAGATTAACGAAGCATCTGGCAATGGAATAGCATGATACCCTGCGACGATTTTGCCCTACTCGACTGTAGCTGATGGGCCATGGTCAATGGCTTAGTTTTTAGTTGCCGGCACTGTCACTACTGACTGGTATCTACTTATTGGATTGACCCAGTTGTTAGATCTACCTTCATTCAATGAGATATTTTTTCAACTGGACGGAACGATTGGTGTTGTAGTCCCAGCCATGATAGTATTGTCAGATGTGTGTCTTTGGAATTACCCTCCGATCATCAAACGTGGCACTGTAATATCAAGCAGATTTAGCAGATGTTCCCATTGGATGAGCATCCTATAGTTTGACCCAGGATGCAACTGGAAAGTTCATCATGAGATTTCCCGTGAAAATGTCCAGGGTAAATCCACCCCATTTACAGACCGACCCAAATATCATAGTCTTTCTCATATATATATATATACATATACATATATTCTATATAATAATTGTACACATATATCTAATATCTAATATCTTTATCTATATACACATATCTATCCCATTCTATTCCAACGATACTGTGTCACCCCCAATTGATTCCCAACTGTTGCCATTCGGTATAAATCTGAGGTGGTGGTCTCTCGCTATGTGGAGAAACCGCTGCTGATCCAAGGACCCATGGGTCATGTGGTGGGGTAAACTATGCAGATGTGGAAAATCCATGGTGTCCCGTTCGGAAAATGGTCTACTTATGGTGGGTGTCCAAAAATAAGAGGAAGAATGATCATGATAGCGATTTTATGGGGATAACAACTAAAAATGTTGCTTTTGAACTTTCGATCTTAGGGCGATTGATCGGCCGAGAAGTTGGGCCAATAAGCCTCAAATAGTTCGGCGCCAGGTAGAGGTGATTTAATCGGCCAAGAAAAGTTTGGGGAGGTCATCAGTGACGGAAGCTGCAGCTTGGGTCGAAGCCATCTAGTCTGATTGGTGAAGATTTGTTCATGACATCGATGTGTTATCCCATTTTTGGGGGGTTGAAACCACCTAGTGTATTTATGCTGTAGGTTGTTAGTGGTCATGGTCCTTTCATCCAGATGTTCCCATAAATTTGGGTGAATCATCGAACAGCAGCTGAAAAGGGACCCATCTGCCAGGTTTAAAGTTCGACCTTCGGATCTATGTTTTAGTGCCTGGGATGGGAATTGGATGGGTAACTAGCCCTAGCCGTAGCCCAACTTTTCAGATTAGGGAATCATTGTAATTTACCCAGATGGGTATACACTGTATACACCAACCAGCTCAAACTTGCAAATTGCTAAGATAAGCCATGTTGATGGGTACCAGTGGATGATAAACCTTGGCAATTGGTTGTATTGATCAATCTTTAGCCAAAATTAGAGGAATATGATGTCCAAAGAAGATTTAACCATCATTAAGCATCATTAACCATCATTAACCATTAGCCATCATTAACCACTATTAGACTCATGTGATATTTCCATTCTGCCATCAGTGAATCACAAGCTCCGGACTGCTTGACCCTCCACAAATCCAACCTGGGGGAAATCCATATGAAAATCCAAGCGGTGAATTCTATGGTCTAACGGGGGGTAGGACTGTAGATGGTGTTCTTCGATTTGTCCAAAAGTTAGATCAAATTGGTTTTCTCCAGGGTTTTGGATCCCCATCCGTTGGTCAAACGATCAATGATCATTTTGGATGCTTCAACCACATGATATTCACATCCCATTCACATCGTATTCACCTTAGGATTTATCCACTGTTCCCGGTTTCTCCATGTAAAAGTCTTGGTTTACTTGTCTCACTGGTGCCAAACGTAGGGAATGGATGGGAATAGGGGAATGCGATTATTGTTGATAGTTATTGTGGATCATTCCCTCATTCCCTACTAAGCACCAGTAAGTTGTTAAAGTCAAAAATCCAGCCCAAATCCAGCCATCAATTGCTCAGGTGACTTCTTTCCGACCGCTGCGCGCCTACGTCTACCGTGAAGGTCTCACGCGCTTTGCATCCAAGGCTTATAGCACTGATGAGGAGCGAAGGATTTGCCAAAAAATCAGGTTTCCATGGCGGTACCCCGCTCGCTCGCTGGATGGTTTGTCATGAAAAATCCCATTAAAAATGGATGATTTGGCAATACCCCATTTGTTTTGGAAATCTCCAAAATGGTAGTAATGTGGTAAACCCACAGCTAAACCCAATACCATACAATGGCGTTATCCTATTTGATAATCCTCATTAGTATCCTCATGAGTATCAATAATATTACCACAAAATTGGAGCTGATGTGGTAAACCATCCCCAGTCATAGGAGGTTTATAGCATCGCGTTTCTCACATATGCGACCTTCAAAGTTGGATCAGATATCCATTTTTATGGTTAGGAACTTGAAGGTCCGCATGATTTCCCAGTAAGGTGCCAAACAAACTATTGTCATTCAGATCTGGAGATTATCCAGTTTTTCCCATGTTTTTTGTTGGCAAATTGGATGCTCAGGAGCATTTGGCCGATGTGTATCGCCATTTGACCAACTATTCCATCAACAAAGGCGCCGAGAATTTCCAGGAGAATCAACGGGTCCAGGCGGATAACTATGGGCACAAATGGAGTCTGTCGGCATTGAATCGACATCTCCGGTGCACCTGGGCCACAGCTACAGTTGGCCGGTCATTTCTTACACTTTGCGACATAGTTGGTATGGTGATTTTGTTTGTTGGTTTTACCCATTAATGGTGATTTTCCAGTTTGCTATGGCAGCTATGTTAAATTACCAGAGCGTAAACGTTTATGGCTATCTGAGCCGACAGGCACAGGCACAAGCACGGCATCATAGACGTGGCTTGACTCTGAGGCATTGGAATCAATGTGAAGGAGATGTGGAGTCGTATCATGGATATCATCGTCAAGACGCTGCTTGCAGTGGAGATACTCGGCTGAAAATCTGGACGCTTGATCCATGATTTTCCCTATGAATGACCATCAATTGGGGGTTATCCAGGAAAAATCCACTGGTGATCCCCCATTTTTGGACCAAGCTGAAAATTCCGCAGCTTAGGCCAGCCATCAGTGCAGCGACGAAGGAGTCCTGCATCCATGAACAAAGCTGTTTTGAACTCTATGGTTTCGATGTCCTGGTAGATGAACATCTGAAACCCTGGCTGTTGGAGGCCTGGCCGAACCGATGAGACCTTCAAGTTGAGTCTGCCCTTTGCGGATACCATGCGTATTGATGAAGTCTAAGTGAAATCATCAATAGCGTTGCAAAATATCGACGGATCAGTGAAACGTCAAGGTTTGTTGGTTCAATTGCCAGTCTGATTATTGAAATGTTCCTTAAATTTTGGTGAAATCCTCAGTGAAGGGTGAGCTATCCCTGGTGGCAGGTGAATCTGAGCCCCAGCATGCAGGCAACTCGAACTTTTAGCCATGCACCAACCATGTTTAGTCTGGAAAACCCCCCATGCTGGGGATGGCATGCGACCCATAGTGGAGATTTTGGGGGGCTGGTTTGTGGCTAATTTGTTTACCACATATTTCTGGGTTTTTTGGGTATTCCTCAATTTTACGCCATGCCCAAGTGAAATAGTCTGTGTAATGCGATCGTTACACCCATCTCATCTGGTACAGTTGGACATGGTTTGAAGGATCTGGACGGTGTGCCCTACATATCTTCTGGTTTCAACTCGCCCTTTCCCTTTCCAAACACCACCACCCCTTCACCGCCGTCGTCGTCGTCAGCATCATCATCGTCATCGTCGTCGTCAGCATCATCAAGCATCATCAAGCATAATCAACCATCATCAATCATCATCAAACATCATCAAATATCAAACATCAAACATCATCAAGCATCATCAAGCATCATCAACCATCATCAAACATCATCAAACGTCATCAAACGTCATCAAACATCATCAAGCATCATCAAGCATAATCCATCATCATCAAGCATCATCAAGCATCATCAAGCATCATCAACCATCATCAACCATCATCAAACGTCATCAAACATCATCAAGCATCATCAAGCATAATCCATCATCATCAAGCATCATCAAGCATCATCAAACATCATCAAACATCACCAATCATCATCAAACATCACCAATCATCATCAAACACCAACAAACATCAACAAACATCATCAAACATCAACAAACATCAACAGCATCATTGATTCCATCAGTACATCAGTACATCGATCCCTTTTCATGGATATTCATACAACCATTATCTTTAAGGCTCCCATACTCAATGGGATTAATTATC